GGGGGGTCTTTTTGAGACAGGGTCTCCCTGTAGCTCCAGCTGTCCTGGAAATCACTATACAGACCAGGCTGGCCTTGAACTCTCTGGCCTTGAACTCCAATATTTTTAAAATTTAATATTATATCTTAATGCTTATTATTTAAGTTCAGAGGCCTTGAATTTAACTAAAGCTTTTGAATTATTGTTGAATTGATATATCTAACAGATAGTGCTCATTTCATTTGTGTAGAGAAAACAATATTGAAGAATGTGGTTTGGAAATGTACTTCTCCGTTGATAAAGAAATTCTAGGTGAAATTAAGAGTCATGATTTGAAACCCAATGGTGGCAATATTCTTGTGACAGAAGAAAATAAGGAGGAATATATCAGGTAAGAGACAGTATTTCCTGGAAAAAAAGGAAGAAGATGCTGACGAGATGACTCAGTGGGTTAAGAGCACTTGCTGCTCTTTCAGAGGACCCCAGTTTGGTTCCCAACACCCACATCAAGAGGCTCACAGGTGCCTGTAACTCCAGCACCAGGGATCCTGGCCTCTGCAGGCACCCACACACTTGTCATACACACATATACATAAATAAAATAAAGCTTTAGAGCTGGGCGTGGTGGCTGCAGGTCTTTAATCCCAGCCCTCAGGAGGCAGAGGCAGGTGGATCTCTGTGAGTTCAGCTTGGTCTACATAGTGAGTTCCAGGACAGCTGGAGCTACAGAAAGACCCTGTCTTAAAAAGACCAAAATAATAATAATAATAATAATAATAATAATAATAATAATAATAAAGCTTTAAAAATAGACCAATAGGGACTAGAGAGATGGCTCAGTAGTGAAGAGCACTGACCGCTCTTGCAGAGGCTCTGGGTTCAGTTCCCAGCATCCACATGGCAGTTAACAACCATCCATAACTCCAGTTCCAGGGGATCCAGTGCTCTCTGCAGGCATTGCACAACACAAGTGCACTTACATACATGCAAGCAAAACACTAATACACATAAGATAAAAATCAGTCAAAAAAGCCAAGCATGGTGACACATGCCTTTAATCCCAGCACTTGGGAGACAGAGGCAGGTGGATCTCTGAGTTCAAGACCAGGCTGGTCTACATAGAGAGTTCCAGGACAGCTGGGGCTACCAGAAGACCCTGTCTCAAAAAAAAAAATAAAATAAAATAGGGGCTGGAGAGATGACTCAGCAGTTAAGAGCACTGACTGCTCTTGAAGACCCTAGTTCAGTTCCTAGCACCCCCATGGCTGCTAACAACCATCCATAATTCCAGTTCCAGGGGATCCAACGTCCTCTTCTGACCTCTGTGGGCAACACTGGTGCTCTTATATACAGTGGCAATACACTCGTAAAATAAAAATATAAATAAAATGCTTTTTTTTTTGTCTTTTTGAAACAGGGTCTCCCTGTGGCTTCAGATGGTCTGGAACTTGCTGTGTAGGCCAGGCTGGCCTCAATTGCACAGAGATCTGCCTGCCTCTGCCTCCCAAGTGCTGGGATTAAAGGCATGCACCACCATGCCCAGCATAAAATACTTTTAAAAAAATCAAAATAAGGGGATTGGAGAGAAATATAAATAAAATGCTTTTTTTTTTGTCTTTTTGAAACAGGGTCTCCCTGTGGCTTCAGATGGTCTGGAACTTGCTGTGTAGGCCAGGCTGGCCTCAATTGCACAGAGATCTGCCTGCCTCTGCCTCCCAAGTGCTGGGATTAAAGGCATGCACCACCATGCCCAGCATAAAATACTTTTAAAAAAATCAAAATAAGGGGATTGGAGAGATGGCTCAGCAGTTAAGAGCACTGGCTGCTCTTGCAGAGGAACCATGTTCGAATCCTAGCACCCCCATGGCAGCTAACAACCATCTGTAACTTCATTTCCAGGGGAATCTGACACCCTTCTCTTACTTGCGAAGGTATTACATGACATGGGTGCACCTACCTACGTGCAGGCAATATACTGATACACATAATAATAAATAGAATTTTTTTAAAATCAAAATAAAAGAGAGGATGTTCCTTTTGACACAGTTTAACCTCTTTTTTTTTTCTTTTTTATTCTTTCTTACGTCTTTGTTAATAATTACCTAATAATAGTAAAGTATTTTTGTTTTGTTTTTATCTTTTTGAGAGAGGGTTTCCCTGCGGCCCCACCTGACCTGGAACTTACTTTGTCGAAGAAGCTGGCCTTGGTCTTACAGAGATCCGCCAGCCTCTGCTTCCCAAGTGTTAGGATTAAAGGTGTACACCATCATGCCCAGCTTTAAAGACAATATTGTTAAAAATATTTTCTTTTGTGCTTTTGCATTAATCACTTTTATGTAGGCAGTTATTTCTCATTTTTATATCAACCTTAAAATAAGAGGTTGTTTTATTTGGAGGGGCGGGGTCTTTTTGAGACAGGGTCTCCCTGTAGCCCCAGCTGTCCTGGAACTCACTATGTAGACCAGGCTGGCCTTGAACTTACAGAGATCCTGCCTGCATCTGCCTCCCGAGTGCTGAGTTAAAGGCGTGCACCACCACGCCCAGCCTAGATCATGGCTTTTAAATAGCAATTCTGTAGCACTATGTCAACATAAAATACTATTGAAAAGAATCTCAATTTTATATGATATTTTCATGGGGACTGTTGTGAAATTAGTTAAAATTTATAAGTAAAATAATGGTATATGGTACATCCTTTCTCATGCTTTGCATTGGTAGAAAGCTTCGTCTTGTGTCATTAGTTCATTGATACTTTCTCACCAGCAAGTCTGTCCCAAACAGTTAAATTTAGCTTATCTGCTTTTTTTTTTTTTTTTTCGGTGTTTTTTTGAGACAGGGTCTTCCTGTAGCCCAGCTGATCTGGAACTCATTATGTAGACCAGGCTGGCCTTGAACTCACAGAGATCTGCCTCTGCCTCCCAAGTGCTTATTTGCATCTGAAGTTCCAATTTGTAGGTGTTTCACCTGATTTTCCTTTCAAAACTAAAAATGCACAATTTTTTAAAATATTTTATTATTTTTATTTTACGTGTATGCGTTTATTGCCTATATGTAGGTAAGTGCACGCAAGTTGTACAATGCCTGTGGAGGACAGAAGAGGCTGTTGGATCCCTGGAACTGGAGTTTTGGACAGTTGTTAGCACCCATGTGGGTGCTGGGATTCAAACCTGGGTCTTCTTTCTGCAAGAACAACCAGTGTTCTTAACCACTGAGCCATCTCTCTAGCCCCAAAAGTGCCCAATTTTAATTATTACCAATTACTTTGAACAGTATTTTTTGGCAAATAAGTCATTTAAATTTTTAGTTAATTTAAAATACATTTCTAAAACTTATTTTTGTTTTCTAAGAGATGTAATTTACTGCCAGGCTTGGTGGCTCACGCCTAAAGTCCCAGGTTTCACACATACATGGATATTACACTCATACACATAAAAGTAACATTAAAAAATTCTTAAGTAAATATTCTGAAACAATTAATTTTTATATGATTTTAACTTATGAGAGATGAAGATAAGAAAATTGAACTCTAGAATTTTTGGTAAAAAATAATTTTTTTTTTTCAAATACTTTGAAGCATGACATGGTGGTACATCCCAGCCATTGAGAAGCTTAGGCAGAAGGGCTGTGTTGAGTTGAGGCCAGCCCAGGCTACATAGTGAGATCATGTCACAAAAATACAAAAAAATTAATAAAAATTAAAAAAAATTATAAAAGGCGTTCTTGCTACTCTACTTTTGTGTATAGTTCAGGTTTCATAATAAAGTTTACATTTTTAGTCCTACATGCAGAACTCAAAGGTAAAATCTAAACTTCCTGGTATAATTTCCATTCCTATTTGCCAGAATGGTAGCTGAGTGGAGATTGTCTCGAGGTGTTGAAGAACAGACACAAGCTTTCTTTGAGGGCTTTAATGAAATTCTTCCCCAGCAATACTTACAATACTTCGATGCAAAGGAATTAGAGGTAATGAATTTTTCTTTATTCCAGCATGCTAGTAAATAATGCCTTTGGGTATCTACTTTAAAATTATGTTTTTCACCAGGCCTGGTGGCACATGCCTTTAATCCCAGCACTCAGGAGGCAGAGGCAGGCAGATCTCTGTGAGTTCAAGGCCAGCCTGGTCTACATAGTGAGTTTCAGGACAGCTGGGACTACAGGGAGTCTCATAAGGACCAAAAAAAAAATAATAATCTTTTTCATCTTTTTAGTGGCATCTGTATTTTTGTATGATAGCAGATGTTTGAGGCATCCTCAGTACTTAAAACCTTAATTTATGCAAAAGCAAGAGTATTACCTAAAATTTAGTATTGCTCTTAAGGCTTCTGTAGTTCAGTGACCTTTTTCCCTTATATATGAATGCATGATGCTGTACATAGAAACTGACCTTCCCTAGTAATGTAGATACAATTCTTGATGTATCGTTTACTGAAGCTATGCTTATGTTAGTCTTATTTATGTCAAACATTTTTTGTAATTACCTAACAAAATAATTTGTCTTTTTCATTCCTAAAGGTTCTTTTATGTGGAATGCAAGAGATTGATTTGAATGACTGGCAAAGACATGCTATCTACCGTCATTACACTAGGACAAGCAAACAAATCATGTGGTTTTGGCAGGTTTGTTTATAAACTTAGACACAGCATGAATTTTTTTTTTTAGAATTTGCCAAAGTAAGTAACAAAATGCACCAGTATATATGGGACCCTTTTCCATTCTATGCATTTCAGTAATATAAGAAGTGAAAATCCGGGCTGGAGAGATTGCTCAGTGGTTAAGAACACTTGATTGTTCTTGTAAAAGACCGGGGTTTGAATCCCAGCACCCACATGGCAGCTAACAACTGTCTGTAACTCCAGTTCCACGGGATCCAACAGCCTCTTCTGTCCTCCATGGGCATTGCATGACACGGGTGCACTTACCTACATGCAGGCAATACATGCATACACATAAATATTTTTTAAAAAAAGAAGTGAAGATCCTCTGAAGACTGTTACTGGGTAACACTTAACTTGTACTTCACCCAGAGTCTTAAGATAATTCCAGAAGATAAGATTTATTCATTTGCATTTGATGTCAGTGCTTTTGGAATCTTATCTAGTGTGGTTTTCATGATTTTTACTTCATTAAGAATTAAATAATGTTCAAGTGACAAATTTAACATCTGGCTTAAGATGATAATCAAAATTTGTCTGCTGCTGTAGGGTCTGGGGAGATGGTTCAGTGGGTAAAGTGCTTGCTCTGCAAGCATTCGGACCTGACTTTGGATCCCCTGAACCCACATAGAACCAATTTTTACAGGTTGTCCTCTGACCTCCACACACCTGCTATGCACACACCTGCCCATATACATACATATATAAAATGTAATTTTAAAAAATTAAAAAATAATGCTGGGTGTGGTGGTGCAGACCTTTAATCCCAGCACTCAGGAAGCAGAGGGCAAGTGGATCTCTGTGAGTTTAAGGCTAGCCTCGTCTACATAGTGAGTTCCAAGCCAGCTGGGGTGACAGAGAGACTGTCCCTCAAAAAAGAAAAGAAAGGGAGGGAGGGAGGAAGGAAGGGAGGGAGGGAGGGAGGGAGGGCTGGCAAGATGGCTCAGTCAGCTAAGGTGCTTACCACCAAGTCTGGTGACCTGAGTTCAATCCCTGGGACTTATATGGTGGAATGAGAGAATAGACTCCTGGAAGTTATCCTCCTGACCGTCATATACCCACTGTAGCAACACACAAATATACACATAAATAAATTATAATTTTACAAACAGATGAGAAATAAAATTGAACGATGCTTTGCATCATTAGATGTTAAGGAAATGCAAATGAAAACCTCAGTGCGATATAACTTTGTGCAGATTAGTTAGAAACGTGAGAGAGGAATAACCTTTGATGAAGATGAGAAGAAACTGAAACCTTCGCTCATTGCTGTAAGAGTGTAAAGTAGTATGCTGCAATGGAAAATAGCCTGGCAGTTGGTCAAAGAATTAAACATAGCCAGACATGGTAACATACCTGTAATATCAGCACTTGGCAGATAGAGGCAGGAGGATCAGGAGTTGAAATGAATGTCAACCTCAGCTACATGAGACCCTGTCTCAAAACAACAAAGAGTTAAAAGATAACATGATTAACAATTATGCTTCAAAAGAAAAGCAGCTGGGCATGGCGGCCTTTAATCACAGCGCTTGGGGGGCAAAGGTAGGCAGGTCTCTGCGTGGTCTACTAGGGAGTTCCGGATCAGCTGATGCTACAAGGAGAGCCTGTCTCCAATAAAATAAAATAACCAGAGACTCAACCAGGTACTGCTACATACCAGTGTTTTTAGCAGTGTTATTCAAGCACACCCAAAGGTAAAATTAGCCCTCATACCTAATATGAACAAACAAGACATGATATGAATATGTAATGGAATATCATGTGGCCTAAAAAAGGATTTAAACTTTTGATACATGATACAACATAAACCTTTTAAAACTTTATGAATTGGGCCTGGAGAGATGGCACAGCAGTTAAGAGCACTGGTTGCTCTTTCAGAAGACCCTGCTTCAGTTCCTAGCACCCCTTGATGGCTAATAACTGTCCGTAACTCCAGTTCTAGGGAATCCGATGCACTCTTCTGACCTCCATGGGCATTGCCTATGTGGGTGCACTTAGATACATGCAGGCAATACACTCCTACATATAAAATAAAATAATTTTAAAACATGAATTTGGAGTTGGGCATGGTGTCTCATCCTTATGATCCCAGGTCTTAGAAGACTGAAGCAGAAAGATTGTGACTTCAAAGGAAGCCTAGGCTACATAATGAAAGTCTGTCTCAGGAAGGAGTGGAAAAACATGACTTTTGGACTGGAGATTATATTTCATTGGTAAAGTGCTTGCCCAGCATGATCCAGACCCCAAATGAAATCCTTAGCACTGAAAAAAATGTTCAAGAAACAATGGGTGGGGGCAAGAGAGATGGCTCAGAGGTTTAAGAGCACTGGATACTCTTGCAGAGAACTCAGATTCTCAGTACCCACATAGTGGCTAAAAACTGTTGAACTCCAGTTCCAGGGGATACAGTGCCCTCTTCTGGCCTCTGGAGTATTGGAAGCACAAGTGCAGGCAAAATGCTCACACATGTAAAAAATAAAAGGCAAAAAAAGGAAAGACAATGAGGGGCTGAAGATACGGCTCAGTTGTGGAGTACTTGTCCAGGATGCACAGGCCAAGCTTGAGTTCAGTTCCCAGCACTGAAGGGGGAAAATATTTTGAGGAGGCCTGGCAGAGTAGCTTAATCCCAGCCCTCAGGAGGGAAAGACAGGAGAATCACTGCAAGATCAAGGCCAGCCTAGTCTACATAATGAATTCTAGGTTAACCTGGCCTACATAGTGATACCTTGTCTCAAAGCAAAGACAATGAGCAAGAACATGAATTTTATTTGTTGATTTGATGTTTTGGGGTTTTTTGTTTTGTTTTCTGGTATTTTTGAGATAGGGTCTCCCTATAGCCCCAGCTGGCCTGGAACTTGCTGTGTAGACCAGCACACCATGTTGTTTTGATTTTTTTATTTATTTTTTAAAATATTATTTTTATTTTATGTGTATGTGTGTATTGCCTGCATGTAGGTAAGTGCACCCATGTCGTGTAATGCCCACAGAGGTCAGAAGAGGCTGTCGGATCCCCTGTAACTGGAGTTATAGACAGTTGTTAGCTGCCATGTGGGTGCTGGGATTAGAACCTGGGTCTTCTGCAAGAACAACCAGTGTTTTTAACCACTGAACCATCTCTCCAGCCCATTTTGATTTTTTTAAATAAAGTCTCCAGCAGCTTAGGCTAACCTCCAACCTGCTATGTAGCCAAGGATAACCTTGCCTCCTCCCTCTATATTCCAACTGCTAATATTATTATAAGCATGTACCACCATGCCTGATATTAATTATAAAATAAATAAGCCATACACAAAAAAGTGAATGCATTATTCCACTTAAGCAATTCTTAGAATGGATAAATTTATTGAGACAGAAAGTGGAATTGAGGTAAACAGGCTGCAGGGAATTCGAAGTTGTGTTTAATAGATACTTAGTTTTGTTTAGGATGATGAAGAGTTTTCAAAATAACAATGATAGTTATCTAACAGTGTGGATATACTTAATGTTATTGAAATATTACACTTCAAATATTAACATGGGTAGTTGGGGAGATGGCTTGGTTTGTAAAGTGCTTGCCATGCAAGCATGAGGACCTGAGTTTGGTTCCACAGCACCCACATAAAGCCAAATTCAGTGGCACACACCTGTAATCCCAGAGCTGAGGAGGCAGAGACAGGAGGATCCCTGGGGCAGGCTAGCCAGCTAGTGTGGCTGAAACAGCAAGTTGCAGATTCAGTCAAGGTAGAGAGCTATTGAAGATATTCAAGGTTGGGCCTCAGCACACATGCATGCAATACATGAACAAGTACATACACCCACACAAAAAATTAGCATAGTAAATTTTGTTGGGTATATTTTAACCACAGTTTTACATGTATTTATTGTGTGAATGCAGCACATACATACCCCTGCCATAGCATAGTGTGCATGTAGAGGTCAGAGAACAACTTTCAGGTGTTGATTTTCTCCTACCATGTGGGTCCTAGGGCTTGAACTTAGGTTGTCAGGCTTGGTGGCAAGAGCCTTTGCCTAATGAGACCTCTCACAGATCTGTTACCACAATTTTTAAAAATAAAATTTTAGCTGGGCATTATACAGAGTCAAAGATGTTACCAGCAAAGAAAAATGCATTACTGCTGGGCGTAGTGGCATATGCCTTTAATTCCAGCACTGGGGAGGCAGAGGCAAGCCGATGTCTGTGAATTTGAGGCCAGCCTGTCTACATAGTGAGTTCCATGACAGCTGGGGCTACAAGGAGACCCTGTCTCAAAAAGACAAAAAAAATTTTTTTAATAAATAAATAAATAAATAAAATTTTAGCTGGGTGTGGTGATACATGCCTTTAATCCCTGCACTTGGGAGGCAGAGGCAGGTGGTTCTCTATGAGATGGAGGCTAGCCTGGTCTACATAGCAAGTTCCAGGCCTGCTGGGGCTACAGGGAGATCATCTCAAAACACCAAAAAAAGAAAAAGAAAAATTAAATGGCCACTATACTTTTTACAAAATTAATGTGAGAAACTTAAAGGTGCACTGAAATAATAGACAAGCTGGATTTGTGGCTCAGGCCTATAATCCCAGTACTTAGGAGGCTAAATAAAGAAATGATATTAGTTAAAATAGGGGGAAAGTATTTCTTACAAAAAAAAATGCTTCACACCAAAATATGAAGCAGGCTAGAAACATTCTGTAGAAATCTTATGCTGAGACCCAGAATTATACATTTTAAACTACCTAATTGTGGCTACATGTAGCTATACAGAAACCTTAAAACACTGAATAAAAGAGGTTATTTGGTCTAGCTGGATCAGAATTCCGTGAGCTTGATTTGTTCACAAAACCAAAACGTCTATACAGACTCACCTTTGTGACCTAAGTAATCACAAAAATGTCCTATAGGACAGACAGATATAAGAGGAACAGAAAAGGCTACCCTAGAAAAGCTGATCTTCATACCACATGAGTAGGGAGCTATAAGGCCAGCATGCACTTCCCTTCAAAGATGCCATCCTCAGGTTTATTTAAGGGAAAGTTGCTGAAGTTTTGACCAACACGGAGGTGCCTCCTCCATCCAATGTTGGGTAAAGTTATTTGTGGGGCTGGAGAGATGGCTCAGCAGTTGGAAGAGCACTGCTTGCTCTTGCAAAGGACCTGTGTTTGATTCCCATCACCCACATGGCTGCTGACAACCATCCATTAACTCCAGTTCCAGGGGATCTGGAAACAACTTCTGACCTCCACAGGCATTGCATGACATGAGTGCATTTACACACATGTAGGCAATACACGCATACACATAAAATAATAAATTTTTTTAAAAAATTTTATTTCTTGTTCAGTGAGCTATATGTAACATATGATGTATGTTTCTCTTTAAATGTGACATTAATAGTTTATTAAAGAAATTGATAATGAGAAGAGAATGAGACTTCTGCAGTTTGTCACTGGAACCTGCCGATTGCCAGTAGGAGGGTTTGCTGACCTCATGGGTATGTATACAGGACCCTTTTTCTATAAAGAAAATTGTTTACCATAATGCTGTTAGGTAATTGTGTATGTAGTTTATCAGAAATAACAAAGATAAATATAGTCTTTTTTAAACTAGCTACAGTTACCTGGATTTGTATAGACTTTTACTTTTGTAGTTCTTACCTCATTAGAACTTTTTCCCTGTTTCTTTTTTATTATTATTATTTATTTTTTATTTTATGTGTATGCATGTATTGCCCGCATGTAAGTAAGTACACCAATGTCATGCAATGCCCTCGGAGGTCAGAAGAGGCTGTCAGATCCCCTGGGACTGGAGTTACAGACAGTTGTTAGCTGCCATGTGGATGCTGGGATTCAAACGGGTCTTCTGCAAGAACAGCCAGTGTTCTTAAATGCTGAGCCATCTCTCCAGTCCCTTTCCCCATTTTTTTAAAGACAGGGTCTCATGCAGCCCAGGCTGGCCTCATACTCACTATGTGGCCAAGGATAACCTTGAACAGGATCCTAATCCTCCTGTCTCCACAAGTTTATTTAGAAGATATATCTAAATAGACAAATATTTGTTTCTATCTATAAGAACAGGTTTGACCTTGTGTTTAAGAGAGTATCAAAAGTCACTGTCTTTGAGTACTGGGAAATCATAGAGCACTTAGAAAGATGAGAGGTACTGACATGTAGTCTCGAATGCCTGTAATCCCAGCACTTGGGAGGTGTAAGTAGAAGGCTCAGGAGTCCAAGGTCTTAGCTACATAGCATGTTTGAGGCCAATTTGCACTACATAAGACTACATACTCTGTCTCAAAAAAACAAGAGGCCAGGAGTGGTGGTACACACCTTTAATCCCAGCAGAGGCAGGCAGAGGCAGGCTGATCTTTGTGAGTTCCAGGCCAGCTGGGGCTATAGGGAGACCCTGTCTCAAGAAGACCAAAAGAAAAAAGAAAGAAAAAAAGAAGTGACCTAAAGACAAACTTACCAATGATCAATATGGAGAAAAAGATAGATCTTATTTTAAAAGTATAGTGTCAGGCTGGTGGTATAGTCCTTGCCTAGCATGCATGGGACCCTAGATTTGAACCCTAAAATGAGTAAGTGTAGTGTCAAAATATAAATTTTTGGAGCCAATGAGATAATTTAGCCTGACAATCTGAGTTCAATCCCAGTACCTACATAAAGGTGAAAGGAGAGAAGTGATGCCACAAAGTTGTCCTCTGGCCTTTACACATGCACTATGGCATGCATGCATGAACACACCCACTAATAATTGTTATATAATAGTATATATTCTGTAATTATGTGTGTGTATGTTATATATATATTTGCATGAAATTCCATTACAGGCCAAGGATGTAATATGTTGAATAAAAAAAGGGAAAGGTAGCAGGCATAGTTGTGCACACCTTTAAGCCCAGCACTTGGGAGGCAGAGGCAGGCAGATCCTTGTGAGTTCAAGGCCAGCCTGGTCTACATGGTGAGTTCCAGGACAGCTGGGGATACAGGGAGATCCTATCCTGTCTCAAAAAGACCGAAAAAAAAAAAGGAAAGGTGACAATAAATAGGAATATAGGTTTAAGAGTGTACATGGTAGTTATATGATTTTGGGACAGTGTCAAAGGAAGATTAAAAAGAATAGAACAGGCAGGGGCTAGAGAGATGGCTCAGCAGTTAAGAGCTCTGGCTGCTCTTACAGAGGACCCAGGTTTGGTTCCCAGCACGCACATAGTGGCTAACAATTGTCCATAACACCAGTTCCAGAGCATCCAGTGTGCTCTTCTAGCCTCCGAAAGCATTACACATGTGGTGCACATACATGCAGGCAAACCACATTTAATTAATAATAAGAAACAGGCAACCTAAAAGGTAATTTGAGTATGTCATTTTTACAGATTCTCTCTGTCTCTTTCTTCCTCCCCCCCTCCCCAAAACAGGTAGCTAGGGCTGGCATTAAATGTAGGGGAGACTGGCCTTGACCTCCTGATCTTATTCCTTCTACTTCCTAAGTACTGGGATTATAGGCCTGAGCCATTGTGCCTGGTTTACGTGCAGATTTATTATTGTTTCACCTCGTTTGAGAGAGCAGTCATAGAAAGAAGGGAAAAGGGGGCTAGAGAGATGGTTCAGCGGTTAAGAACACTGGTTGTTCTTGCAGAAGACCTGGGTTCAAATCCCAGCACCCACATGGCAGCTAACAACTGTCCATAACTTCAGTCCCAGGGGACCCAACAGCCTCTTCTGTCCTCCACAGGCATTGCACGACACTGGTGCACTTACCTACATACAGGCCATACATGCATACACATAAAAATAATAAGAGGGAAAAAGAATGAGAGCAGTCATGTAATAGTAATGTGGCATGTTCTACTTTATGTTTCAGAATTGGCTCCATTACCTATTAATTGCCATTATTAACTCCTTATCTCTGTAGTTAGAAATACTGTAATGAAGGCTGGGCATGGTGGTGCACACCTTTAATCCCAGCACTCGCAGAGGCAAGTGGATCTCTGAGTTCCAGGCCAGCCTGGTCTACATAGTGAGTTCCAGGCCAGCTGGGGCTACAGGGAGACCTTGTCTCAAAAAGACAAAAAAAAAATATGCTGTAATGAATAGAAAGAAACACAAAGTGGGTTAACGTTTCTTCAATGTAGAACACCTTTAACAATTCTTTTTCATAACTATTTACTTATTTTATTGAATTCTATACATAACTACTTGTGAAAATGAGGATTGTTCTCTATTTTTGAGATGAGGTTTGTTTTATGCATTGCCGGCCAAAATCAGAATTTTCAGAATCAGGACAGGTAGGAACACTTTACAGAGGTGTATTATTGTTGGTTGGCAGGATTCTATCTGCAAGGCAAGGACACTTGCTTCCGGGAGAATTGACTTGGAGGCTCCCCTCTCTCCCCCACGTGGCTATTGAGGGTCAGAGCTGTTCACCTAGGAAGGTTTAAAATATACACCGGCAATTAAGCATGCTTGCGCGCTAGGCCAGCCAGCTCTCTCTGGCTTATATTTCAGGCCAAGAAGAACCATCCATGAGGCATTGTTATCAAATATAAAATGTACTAGTAATTTATATTTATACTGGATTTATGTAGGTAGGAAATGAGAAAAATTTTGTGCATGATTGTCCCACATACTTAGAATGTTTAGTGTATCTGACCTCTTCTAATTAAAAAATCCAGTAGCAGGGACTGGAGAGGTGGCTCAGCGGTAAAGAGCACTTGCAGGCTGAAGAGATGGCTCAGTGGTTAAGAGCACTGACTCTCTTGCGGATGACCCGGGTTCAATTCCCAGCACCCACATGGCAGCTCCGAACCATCCTTAACTCCAGTTCCAGGGGAATCCAAAGCCCTTTTCTGACCACTTTGGCATTGCATAACACGGGTGTGCTCACATACATGCAGGCAATACACTCATACACATAAAATAAAAATAATAAAGGCCGGGCATGG